ACCAAACTGAACACCCCAAACCCTCTCTCACTCTGGAAGCCACCTCCCTCCGCCCTGTACTTTTCAGCACTTCCTATTGGTCTTCTGTTTTTCCCTCTCTTCTTCAGTCAGAGAGAACTGGAGCCCTGCATGAAGTCATGTCTCCCAAAGAAAATATATTTTTGGCTCTCTGTGCACAAAATCACTTTTCAGCATGGGTAAAGAAACCTTCATCCTTTTCCTTTGGTCAGTTTTGAAGCAATAGCTTAAGCAGTAGTAGGTTGTGTGAGAACAGCCAGGAAAATAAGCTGAGGTCCACATGCCCCAGACTAAAGGAAATCAGACAACAGGCCCAAGACAGAAGCAGAAGTTCTCCACGGCCCCACCGTGTTCTTTCCACTCAGTTTTCACGGGACCTTGTGTTAGCTTCTAGCATTGGGAGAGCTTCCAAATGCTCTGAGCTATGTTCTGTAGCAAAATAAGGGATTCAGTTTTATGGTGATTTAAAAAAAAAAGAGAGAGAACATTAAGAAGGAGACACAGGGGCTAGAGAGATAGGTCAGCAGTTAAGAGCACTGGCTGCTTTTCCAGAGGACCTGGGTTCAATTCCCACTACCCATATGGTGGCTCACAACCATCTGTAACTCAAGTGCCAAGGGATCAGACGCCCCCTTCTTGGCCTCTGTGGGCACCAGACATACATGTGGTACACAGACATGTATGCAAGCAAACACTTAAAATAAATAAATGCTTAAATAACAAGGGGGGTAGGGACCATTGTATAGTAATTGAATGCCTTCAAACCCCCAAGACCACTGTGAAACCTCCATGAATGGCAGCCATTCCCAACTGAGCACTCTCAGTCACTATCAAAAATAGACGAGTGCTCTGTCTTCGGGACTTGAAAATATTTTCCAGCTAACCACCGGAGAATGCAGTGTTGTGTTTGGGGGACACATCTATCCAATTTAAATGGTTCTGTGGCTCACCAAGCCAGGTGGCTTCTGGTAGTCATCACATTTTCTGCAGTTTGGTGTTGGTACCTGTGACTTAGAATTCCCTATAAGTGAGCACAACAGGTCAGAACCCCTAAGTCCTCAGGCCTCAGTGAGGAACTGATTCTAAAACACTGGGATGGAGACCAGGGTAGTTCTATGTTTTACAGACCCTGTTAGCTATCAACAAATTGCAGGATTTCTCTTTGCTCCCCTGAGATCGAGTATTTGTGTAAAAGCTTCTTAGAGTTGGGGTTCATGGCTAACAGGCACGGTGATTTTTAGTAGGGAGAAGAATGTTGGATTTCAGCTTCATATGGTATAAGGTGTGAGCCTACCCAGTGGCATGGTGGCAGAGGGGGACCAGGGACACATGCATCACATACCCTGTAATGTCACAGTGTGTTCTGCAAAACAAAAGCCACAGGTTGGGTGTGGTGGAGGAACGGCTGTAATCTCAGCCCTGGGGAGGCTGAGGCTGGATTATGAATTCAAAGTCATCCATATATATTGATCTCTAGCACAGCATATAGCCCAGGCTGGTTTTGAACTCCTGATCCTCTGGCCTCTACCTCCCAGATATTAGGATTGCGGTGCAGGTGTGTGACACACTTTGTCTTCCCTCCCACTGGGATCCAGAACCTCTTTCCCGGCAGATGCTGCCCCATCCTGAAGGATGCTTCCGCCTCCCACCAGCCTACCCACTCCCGCAGCAGTATAGCAAGCTGCAATGCAATTATTTGTTCCCTTTGATTTCTCCCTGGCTAGACTCTGGGCACTTTAAACATCACCCTCAAAGCTTCAATCTACCCGTCCAATTACACATCTCTGTTGCATGCCTAGGGCCATGCCAAAGATGAATAAACACCTCTTGAGGGAAGTAATAAATAGATGTCTGTCCCTCAGCAAGGTGAGCTCTCAAATACAGTCTGCTCCCTTACTCTTTCTCATGCATGTGATGTGTGTTTAAGGCTGGAACTGCTCACAAGAGGAAGAGCGTAATTTCTAAACCCAAAGAGGAACAGAAAAGCAGAAAGGACTCTTCCATAGAGGAAAGTGTTCTTTAATTTGGGGGGTGACCCCAGGTCGAGTGTATCTATAATCAGAAAAAGTCTGTGAGCAAGGACAGGGGCAGCCAGGAGGGACGCTGAGATGGAGATGAAGCTCACACCCATCAGCTGCTTGTGGTGTCCACCCCTCAGGCATCTGCAAGGACCTTTGGTGGCACGCTCTGTGCGTGCAGTAGCCTTCCTGGAAGTCTCTGCAGAATCCAGGCCCTGCTTCCCCTTTGGATAAGCCACTGATGTTGGCTTCAGGGCTTGGAAAATCAGTTGCCAGGTTTCAGCTGTTCACACCTGTGTCTTCCCAGTCATGGTCCCCACAGTCAAGCTGCCCAAATTCCAGAGTGCATTCTTGAGGGTGGTAGGAACCCTGGTGCCATCTTCCAGGTGGCAAGCCCAGGCATGTTCATGTCTTTTCAGTGATCCAATCTTCAAAAAACAATGATTCATATCTGCCATGTTACACTGAAGGATCCAAGTTTTATAGCAGAATCTTCTAGATTCTCTAAGGACGTGCCCCTCCATAATCCTTCCCGCACCTACAACCCCTCCCAGGGACAACCCAGGGCCTGTCCAGCTGATCACAAGTTCTCCCCAGACTTACTACCTCAAGAATGCCATGGGTACTGTCCTCATAACAAAGACAGTAGGAGCTGGAGGAGAGAGGGCCAGGCTGTGAAGCTTCCCCTTCACTCCAGCCCACTACAGCCTGAGGAGTGGAAGCCTCTGGGGGAGGCAGCCTGAGGGTCCCACAGAAAGCAGCAGTGTGTTGTCTGTGGAGCTAACACTGTGTCGTGAAGCACACAGTGTTACAGTTGAGCGTGGCCTGGGGACAGAAGGTAGGGCTCCACTGGAGAGATGTGCCCCAGAGCCCTGGAGCTGAACTTGATGAGTCTCACGCCAACCAGTTCCCACCAGATCCAGGAGTGTGCAGGACAGATGGAGACAGAAAGAAGCCCTGACTCAAGAGGGTGGAGTGCCATGCGCATCACCGCGTCACCACCCAGACATTCCTCTTGTCGCTATTTTTATCACAGTGATCATGAAATTGGTGTCAGATGGGCTGGTCAGGTTCCTCACACGGAGGATAGGAGATATCATTGGAGCTCTTTCCAGGGAGGAGATGCTGCATGAGGCCATTAAGAATGTGTCTCTAAAAGGCCGGTTTCACCATGAACCTCACCAGCCCTGGGCTGTGTTCCTATAACCATAAGAACAGCCTCGCCACCCCACCCACTTCAGTCCTGGCCCTGGGAACTTAACAGACGTAGATTGTCTTCTGAGTGCAGACCCTGAACCAAACACTGGGGGGGTCAGATAAAAATATGGTATGTGGCCCTGCAGGAATTTGCATTTCACTGAAAAGGAATGCCATGTACAGAGACGGTGTCTGCTGGACTGCCTGGTGGAGAGAGGCTCTGGTCTGTGTGGGCCCTGGGAAAGCTTCGGGTGGGGATGACAGCTAGCTAGTGCTGACTCTTCAAAGATCAGCCGAGGTGTTGGATAAATAGAAGAGAAAGAGCCTCCTGGATGTGGGGGTGGGGAGGAGAAAGGCAGAATTTTTTTTTTTAAATGAAAGATTGCTGGCCTGGTGTGGATTCTCGAGCCAGATGAAGGGCCGTAGAGTGTTGCCCAAACCCAGGACATCACTCAGAGAGCACGGCAGGAGTGGGGCCGCTCCCTACCCAAATCAGGTTTGGGCCTACCCAACTCCATAGAGACAAAGGCCACATCACGATAGTCAGTCAAGCTTCTGTCTCGCCTCCCTCCCCCCCCCCCCCCCCCCCCCCCCCCGCCCAAACTATCTTCTTAGAAACCATGTGACCAGCAGTCTGCTAATCTGACTGGTGACTTGGAGAGCCCCTGTGTGCACCCCTCCTCACCCTCCTCACCCTCCTCACCCCTCCACCAGCTGCTGCACTTCCTCTCTTGACCTCTCCCTCCCTCCCCCATACTCAAGCTATATAAGCTAACCCCACCATTTCAATAAGCAGTCCTCGGAACTGGGTCATTCATACTCAGCCACTGGAGACCCTGCTCCCCAGCTCCTTTGCATCCTGGGACTGCCAGTACACCGTTAGAGTCAGTTCCTTTCCTAGCATAAACCAAGTGTGGTGGCACACACCTGTAACCCTAGTACTTGGGAGGTAGAGGCAGGAGGGTCGGGAGGGCATGGTCATCCTTGGCTATGTAGCAAGATCAAGGTCAACCTGAGCTACATGAGATCCTGTCTCAAAAGACAAAAGCCTGTAGATGATCCAAAGCCTAGTTGTCACTGAGGTTTCCCTGAGGGACCCAAGTGCACATCTGCTCAGTGGGGAGCTGGTGCAAGAAGCCTCCTGTATCCTCTAAAGGGCCTCCTTCCTGAGGCTGGGCTCCAGAACTGGTGCTGAGGGCAGAGCCAAGCTGTGGGGGTTGGCCTGCAAGTGGCAGTGGCCAATTAGGGTGTTAAAGCTGGACATAAACTCGGGACCTCCCACCACGGGCTTTGGAGTGGAGCATATAACTAACTCCTGACCCTCTTCACCAGCCACAGGAAGTAAGGCTGGATTGTTAAATAGAAGCTAGAAGATAAGCAGAACTTTCTAGATTCTGTACTTTTCATCTGGACTCTAATTTGTGTAACTAAATGCCTGGAATTCAGAGAGAAATTTAACGACCCGAAATGGGGCATGAGGAGAAAACAGGAAGAGCTGTGCCACCAAGGGATGGCAGGAAGTAGATTCACAGATGTGCTCGCCATCTGAGGCCTGGAGGCCTGGTTCTCATTTCCTCTGACCAGGCGTTCCAAGCCCCACCCCCACCCCTTGAGTCATGTGGACTCAGGCACAGCCTCTGGTCAGGCACCACCTGTCTGGCCACAGCCTCTCTGCCAAGACCAGCTTTATGATCTGAATAAGGTGGTGGTGAAATTAATGGCATCCTGATGATGTGACTGAAGCCATCCCCTTGTGTCTCCAAATAGGAATGAGAGAGGAGATGTCCCTGGGACGCCAGGAAGCTTTTGAAATTTTCAAGAGGGACCACGCTGACAGTGTCACCATCGAAGACAACAAACAGATTCTGAAGCAGAGGTAAGATCCAGGCAGAGAGTAGCTGCCTCCTCCCCCAGGCTTAGGTAGGCCAGTCCAGAGACTTCCTAGTCTGTCCTTCTAACTTGTCAGCCTAATGTCTGCCAGAAAGTCTACTGTCTACAGTTTCCCATGCCCCTGCGTGCACCCCTGCCATAGTTCTCTTTCATGTGTGAGCATCCCCATCCCAGTACTGCTGGGGTAAGCCACCGGTGGGTCAGGGGTCGCTAGGGATAGCATTAGCTGTTAGTTATTTGGCGGCGCTCTTACCCTGCGAGGAAATGTCACGAAACACGACAGAATCCACTAACAAGAGTTTTATTAAGATAAGAGAGAGAGACAGGTGTGCTCAGGCCTGTTGAAAGGACACGTACATAAAGAAGGAATCCGGGGATATGGCACCGGCTTATAATGGCTGAGTCGCGCATGCTACACAGGTTCATGTGGCTACTCCACTCATGCGCGTAGATCACATGATTGTGTTGCACGCGCTTTACGCAACCATGCAAAGCCACTGGGTCCTGGTCACGGGAGACATTTTGACCCGGAACTGGCTATTTTGACCTGGAACTGGCTAGGCGGAAGTGTCTAGGTCCACCAGGCTTGCACAACCATGCCCAACCATGGGGGCGTGTTGTGAATCTATCATTAGCTCTATGGACAATGCTCACATTGTATGTGTTCTCATCAGCCTAGAACTCTTACAAATGCCTTCAGTATCTTCAGGGGCAAAAAAGTCAAGCTGGGAGCTGGCTCAGTGGGTAAAGGCTTGCTATGTAAGCATGGGGACCTGCGTTCCAGTCACCAGCACCATGCCCCTGTAATCCCAGCACTGGGAAGGCAGAGAGAGACAGCAGGTTCTCTGGGGCTTGATGGGCAGCCAGTCTAGTCAAACAAATGAGTTCCAAGGTCAGCTTCTAAAACAAAGTAATAGAAGACAATGGAATTGGCCTCTGGTCTACACACACACAATTTTTTAATGTGTAGACAAAATTACATTTTTAGGTCCTTCATATTTTTGTAAAATCAAGAGTTGGAGTAGATGAAAGGCCTGAGCAGAGAGATGAAGGTTTAACATGGCTGCTACCTGGAGGAGTGAGAGACTCGACTGGGAAGGGCCAGAGGACAAACTCGGGCAGGGGTAGATCTCAGAGCTCCTCGGGAATCCAGTAACACAACTCACATCCAACACTCTGGAGAGCAGTCTAGGTCCTCTCAGTCTGGAGAAGTGTGTGCACCTCGTGACCTATCAATTCTATTTGGGGGTAAATATCCCACTTGGGCTCCTAAAAGTGCACATAGAACTTTCATGGCTGCACTGCTTATAGCTGGTGACAGTTGAACATACTCCAGGTTCCCGTGCTGAGCAGCTGACAGTTAATATAACAGAAAGTCCGTGGATTAGGATGTAGTGTGGTGGCGGTGGGGGTGATGGATTAGATACTTGTATATCAACAAGGATAGATCTTAAAGGCACAACACTAAGAAGGAACACAGTTCCAAAAAATTGCAGATGGACCAGCCCAAAACCCAACAGAGACCCATACAAACAGATCCACCTGAGTGTACCCTGCGAATGGAAGTCCTGGGGGTGGGGGTAGACAGATGGCTCCCGGGTTAAGAGTGATTGCTACTTAAGCATCAGGGCCTGATTTCAGGTCCCAGCACCCATGTAAGACTCTGGACTTGGCCACTCAAGCACCTCTCACCCCAGTGCTGTGTGGGGTGGAAACAGGAAGGTCCCTGGAGCTTGCTGGCTACCAGCACAGCCCTGACTCAGGGAGAGACGCTGTCTCAAAGGAATAACATGGAGACTGATAGAGTGGGACACCTGGTGTCCTCCTCTGACCCCGACAAATACACAGGCACTCACATCCAACACACACATGTACACACACCACACATAAAGAATGGAAGCTGGAAGGAGGGGTGGATAAAAACAATCAGAGCCAATGACCAAAACCAGGGGAAGGAGGAAGAGAGTGTGCTGTGGGATGGTCTATATGTCAAATGTGTTGCTGATTGGTCAATAAATAAAACACTGATTGGCCAGTGGCTAGGCAGGAAGTGAAGGCGGGACAAGGAGGAGAATAAAGCTGGGAAGTGGAAGGCTGAGTCAGAGACACTGCCAGCCACCAGGATGAGAAACAGCATGTGAAGATGCCGGTAAGCCACAAGCCACGTGGCAAGGTATAGATTTATAGAAATGGATTAATTTAAGCTGTAAGAACAGTTAGCAAGAAGCCTGCCACGGCCATACAGTTTGTAAGCACTATATGTCTCTGTGTTTACTTGGTCGGGTCTGAGAGGCTGTGGGACTGGCAGGTGAGAGAGATTTGCCCTGACTGTGGGCCAGGCAGAAAAACTCCAGTTACAAGAGTGAGTCTGGGAAGAACTGGAGACTCTCTCCCTAGAAGCATGGACGGACACACACTGGCTTCAGTCTTAGCATCTGAGACAAGGTATTTCAAATCTGCTGATGCTTCTGCTCCCCTGCATGCCACACGTTCCTGATATGGTCAATGGGATGTTAGAGCAGGCTACCTTCCTTGGGTGTCTGGAAACAAGATTGTCAACTAGATGACAGCCGCTTCATCCTCTAAGACAGATCTCCACCGAGCCCCAAGGCTTCTTTGCCAGCTCATAGTCATGAATTCCTAGTGAAATGATCCCAGGAGATAGATACCCAGCTCAACCAAGCTGGGGTTCGACTCCCCAGACACTCATGTAACTAGGTGTGGACTGAGCATCCCTTTTCTGTAAATGGATTCCACTAACAACCTGATTTGGAAACCACTGACCCAGAGTGTTCAGCAACCTTGATATCCAGAACCCTGGAAGGAGAAGTTCCTTAAAAAAATTCATAGGAGCTGGGAAGATGGTCCTGTGGGTAAAATGCTTGCCATGCAGACATGGGGATGTGAGTTCAATCCCCAAACCCCATATTTTTTATTATTATTATTATTATTATTATTATTATTATTATTATTATTATTATAAGTGCAGTGGTGCAGTGGGGTGTGTTTATAATACCAGAACTGGGAGGTGGAGACTGGTGGGCTCGAAGGGCTCAGCAGTCACTAGCCCAGCTTAGTACACAAGTGCCAGGCTAGCGGGAGACCTTATTTCAAAAACCAAGGAGGCAGTACTAAAGGAACGATACCTGAAGCTGACTTCAGTCTACACCTGTGTGTGCACACACACACACATGCGCACGCGCGCGCACACACACACACACACACACACCGATGATACTTTGTGTACCCAAGTTTAAAAACCACTGACAGAGCAGATGTACTCATTTTCCCTTCTCTAAAATCATCATGGCTCCTGGCTGGTTTGGGCTTGTACTTGAGTCTGGACCTGTTTCTGGTGGGGAAGGGGGTCATGGCCTTCCAGGGTGAGCATGTGTGGGTCTCTCAGAGGCTTCTCCATACAGTCAGTGCAGTTCTGATAACCTAAGCAGCCATCAGGATTTTACTGAAAGCTCATCTTATTTGCCCACAGTGGGCAATGCTACCAATGCTCCGGTCTTCCTCTTGGCCATTGTGCAGAGGAATTTAGCAAGACTCACACAAAGCTCTCTGAAAAGAGGTCTGCCCAGCAATAAACCCAACGAAAAGGCAGGAGACCAGCCCATTCTAAAAAGGAAATTCTACATCTGTTAATGTTAATATAATTAAGTCATTAAGGAACTGCTTCATGCCAAGAGGCAATGGGGTACCACCCGGAGCCTCCCCTTCTCTCTGCACCTACATCTCACCCCCTTTCACAGAGGTTATTCAGTTGTTAGAGATTACTGGTGCTCACAAGGAATGGAATGAATACATCTCACAACGGGGAATTATTAGATTGGCTTACAGGATACAGTCTGGGGAGTCCAACGGGCCATCTGCACACTGAAGAGGCTGAGAATTCAGTTAACAAAGCCAGATGACTCAGCAGCTCCAGTCCAAGCCCACAGCCTGGAGATCCTAACCCAACAGTCATTGGTAGTGCGTCCATGTTGGAAGGCAGAAGAAGCTGGAGTGAGTGTCAGTGGATGACTGTCGGGGGTGGCCACACATGCTGCCTTTTCCCGGGACATCTTCAAACCCAGGCCACCTGCTGGAAGATGCTGTCAGCTTAAAGAGAGAGTCTTCCATCCTCATTTAATCCTCTCTGGAAATATCCTCACAGACATACCCATAGGTGTGTCTCCTGGGTGAGTCTAGACCCATACATGTGCACGCACACATCCTACAGCAGAGGACTTCAGAAAATACCTTTTTATAAACAAACAAACAAACAAACAAACAAACAGCGTTCCAATAGAAGACACAAAAGGAAATCCCAAGATACTCAGAGGAGTGACTTCCCTGAGGCCCTGGCATAGAAATACTCTTCAAGTAATCCTGATCCCTTCCAAATATTTGCTCCAGCGCTCCCTAGTGGCAGGGAGGACCCACATCCTCAAGTGTTGGTCTGAGGAATTCTGAACCACCAGAGGTCTGCTGGCATCCCTCCCAGAGCTCTCACCTTCTACTGTCCCTCAACACCCAGGACCAGAGGGCTAGTTCCCCATCTTACTCCCCTTGCCTCTCATCTGTGAACTCTGTGGTTAATGGTTCTGGAGTGTCATCCTGTTGAGACTGAATTGCCCGACACCAAACTAATCTCCTCTAGCCCACAGCAAGAGACAGTCATCCCTGATGGCAGGATTGCTGGTAGCCCAGAATCCTCCATGGTTCTCTGCACTTCCCCAGGGTATGAGACCTGGTCTGGGGTTTCAGGAGGGCACATGGGTACCTGTGTGCCCCATGCTACCTAACAGGAGGCTTTCTGTTCCCTGCTCACCTGCATATTTCTAGCATGGACTTTCCAGCATGCCTGAGTGCTGCCCGAGATCTGGGGGAGGTTCAGCTGCCTGTGTGTGAGGAGAGAAATAAGATGTCACATTAACAGAACATTTGCCCTTCATTGGCCCACAGTGTATGAATCAGTTCTTCAGTGGAGGTTTTTCCAGTGGAAGATAATTGTTATTCACAATAACTCCATTTTCAAGGCATGAGCCATCTTCCTAATATATAATAATAGGAAGAGAAGTGACGACCCTGTGCTCTGTAAATACCAGGGCCCAGGCAAAGCACAGGGGAGCTTTTCTTTTGTGTCAAACTTCTTACAAACTGGACCCTTCAGACACAGAGTCCCCATTAAGTAACAAAAGAGGAAATGAACAGGGAGATGAACTGCAACTAGAAATCAAGGCATTAATAATGTGAGCTAAACCAAGAAAAGCACCCCTTCACTCAGCTGGGTCCTTCTAGCGCAGAATGGAAGAGCAATCTACAAGCAACAGGAGAAGTGGACTGGGGAAATCATGGCACCATCTGGAAATGCTCCCGTGACAAATAGGAGCTCCCGTGTTCCCATTAGACCTCAAGTTTAACCTTAATTACTTTTCCATTTGATTGTTATATTTACACCTTGTCTGCTGAACTGCAATTATTAACTCTGAAGCACAGATTAGATTAGAGTCTTCTCAGCACCCCCTGCTTCTTAAAACGATGCTGGACACACACACACACACACACACACACACACACACACACACACACACATACACACACACACACAAAATGCTGTTCGGAGAACTATTGTTCGAGAATAATGCCTACTTGAAATCGACTTTGAGGACTCTTAGCAGCCAAGGAAACTACTGAAGATTTGCTGTAGCCTCCAAGAAGTGCAGAGTGGTAGTGGGAGTGGCTGACCCCCTGACCCCCTGACTCTCAGCAGGCTGGAGAGGACAGCAGAAGAGACTCACAGAAAAGGGTCATTAGCATGTGAAAAATGCAGGGGGAGGGCAGGCTGGGTCTTCATCACAGTAAAATGGCCTAGAGAGTAAAGTGTTTGCTGTACAGCATAAGGACTGAGTTCAGGTCCCTAGCACTTACCTAAGAAAGCCTGGCATGCAGCTTACATCTGTACCCCAGCTAGGGAGGCAGAGCTAGGCAGACCCGTGGGGCTCACCAGGCTGCCAGCCTAGCCACATCTGTGAGCTCCAAGTTCAGTAAGAGACCCTGTCTCAAAAAGATAAGGTGGCCAGTGATTGAGGAAGACACTTAACATAGACTTCTGGCTTCTACATGCCCACTGTGTGTCAGGGTTCCTGAAAAGAAACTGTCTACACAGGGAAATTGACTGATTAAAACTTCAGTGACATGGAGAGGTTGGAATGCTGCCGAGAGAGCGATCTTTAGCCTAACAAGAGCCATTCCTTACACACCTCTGAGTCAGACCTGCCATCCTAATAAACAGATAAAAACCTCTGGAATGTATTAACTTAAAACTAACTGCCCCAATGGGAGGGCTAAGACTGTGGTCACATAGCATCCGATGGCTGCCAGCCCTCTACCCAACTATAACCCTCCTCTCTGGTGTTTCCACCAAGGTGTTTTTTTAATGCCTTGATTTATGGCTTTCTTTGTCTTGTTACCCATAAAAAAGTCCACAGAACTGCTTCCATGTTGGAACATAAACTGGGGTAACTTAAATCTGTGTTCCCAAGCCACGATCACTCAAGTTCGGCTCCAGAATAAACCATCTCTGGCCCTAGGTCAGAGCAGTCCCTGTCTGAGTTCCCTAGTGAGTTGTGTGTAGGGTAGCCAGGTGTGGGGGTCCTCAACTGCTTCACCCTGAGTGACTCATGTCTTTGGATACCACATCCCAAGGGCAACAAGGATTCTCTCAAAAATGTTCCCAAAAGTCTCATCCCTCTGCTTCAGTTACCTAAATCTTCTCATTCCCTCTGATGATGAGGAAGTTGGCCACAGTGTTGAAGCCCCTAACATCCATCTGCAGGAACCTCTTCTATTACGTGGGTTTGCTGGAAGGATGGCCCTCAGCCTCCATTGTCTGTGGTTACTGTGTCCTGGGCACGACCCCAGCTCCGAGCTCAGCATACCCTACAAGGATCCTGTCCTGCCTGGTGGTGGTCAATATTCATACACAAAGCACATGGAGCTTCAGTCCACACTCCGCATGAATGGCTGCCGAACTGATCAAGCCTGAATTTCACCAGATGCCTCTGCACTGGTCCCCATAAGGCAACAGGCCCTCACTGAGAAGACATGAATGACCTCTGAGGAGCCTTCATTCGGGAGCCAGGGGTGGAGTCCTTAGCCTTGTAGGAACATGCAGTTCTCTTCCCTGGAACTCCTTGTCTGTAGTCCCAGGCCAAACAGATGCAGAAACAGCAGTAACAGAACTGCCACCACTTTTCTACCAAGCACGGAGCGCTGGTCCTCCTGGCCTGGCTCCCTCTCCCTTCATCTAGGGCAATGCTGTACAGATGAGGGAGTTACGGGCCAAACAGTAAGATAGCTAAGCCTCTCTAGAACCCTGTGAGATTCAGGGAGGGCAGACGAGGACAGGGAGAGAAGAGGCTGTTGAGTTAAGATGGACAGCAGAAAACTGGGTCAGTAAAGTGGGAGGATTTAGCCCAACATGCTCTCTGTTTTATATGTGTTTGGAAACTTCTAGAATGAACGTTTTCTAAAATTCTGTGTATCTTCAAATCCAGGTCACTCCCAACTTACACACGAAGTGATTTGACTACACACTACACATAGCTAGGCCCCTTCCTAGACAAACTCAAACAGTGTGGCTATTGTTATCCAAGACAGAATACATGCTGTGTCCATATGTTGTGTAGTTGTTTTGTTTGTTTGTTTGTTTGTTTGTGGGGTTTTGGTCTCCCCTTTGATTTCATGGTAGAAGGGAAGACAGATCAACTAATATTTCATGACGTCTTGGTGTGGTAGCTCATCTTTGTTGTCAGTGTGGTTGGACTTGGAGGCCCTTAGGAGACACACCTCTGAGTGTGTCTGCTAAGATTGTTTCCAGAAAGGTTTAAGTGAGGTTGGAGGACCCCCTCCTACTGTGTGTGGCACCATCCCACAGGCTGGAGTCCTGGACTGAACTAAAGATAAAAAGCCAAGCACCACATTCTTCTCTCTGCTTCATGATAGCGACACAACATGGCCAGTCACCCCGCCCTCCTGCCAACGTGCCTCCCACACCACATATGATGGCCTTGGTCCCCTCAAGAGCTGCTCATTCCTTCCGTGGGTCATGTCTTACACTGTTTTCTCAATGCAAGGTTGGGCTCATGTAGATGTCTCGTAAAGATCTGTTAGGAAATGTAGCAGGAACACTGACTGAGCACCATCACACATATCTCATGGACTAGTATTTACCCACCAAATACAAGAGTTTCTAATGGCATAGGGAAGAACTTACATGCTAAGCGAAAAAATATTGGGATAGAATCTTATGCATTATTTATATTATTATGTATGTGTATATGTACTTATGCATACATTATGACCTTACCCTGTAAAAATGAGCTGGAGAAAAGACTAGACAGATCTCCATATCAGGATATATTTATTTCTGGTTTGGGGGTTATTGTGGTTTTTTTTTTCTCTTAAATTGTATTTTCAATTTCTGGTTTAATAGTCTTCTGTGACAGGAGTCAGCAAGCATTTTCTGTAAAGGGTCAAATAGTAAAACCTTTCAGCTCCACTAGCCACACAGCCTCTCACATCTCTCCACTCAGCTGTGGGAACTACAAGCCACCATAGATGAAGTGGTGATGGATGGGTGAACGCGTTCCAATAAAACTTTATCTAATTTGTCTCATGACTGACTGTCAGTGGCTGACTTCTGCTACACTATCGTATGTCAAAAAGCCAATTTAAAGTTATTTGAGAATTTTTTTTTTTACTATAATGTTAGCACATGGCTTATGGGTCATGGTAGAGAAACTTTACCACCACACTTAATTCTGGTACCTTTGCACCATAAAGCATCAGAAATTAAATTTATTCATTAGCAAATTTAAAAACAGATTTTTTATTATTATTTTGTGTGTATGGGTGTTTTGCCTGCGTGTAGTATTGCAGCACATGTGCAATACATGTGGTTCCCTTAGAAGCCAGAAGAGGGTGCTGGACCCCCAGAACTGGAGTTAGAGCTGGTTGTGAACCTTCATGTGGGTGCTGGGAACTGAACCCAGGTCCTCTGGAAGTGCAGGCAGTGCCCTTAACCACCCAGCTATGCTCCAACCGGAAACTTTATGTAAGGTAGACAATGTTTGACAGTAGATGTAATCACAGATTTCAGGCTTTCTTTATAGCCTACCATACTAAGCTTATTTCAGTTTTCCTTTGTCCTCATCACATTCCTGAAACCTCTCAAACATCTCTTATTTTTTCAAATATAATAAAGGATGTCTAGCAAAAAATAAAAATTGTCTTTATTCCTTTTTTCCTCCAGATTTTCTGAAGCAAAGGCTCTGGGAGAAAGTATAAATGAAACAAGAAGTAAGATTGGTAAGCAGATGGTATTCTGGAAGCTTCTTTCACCATTTTCCAGTGGACTTTGGGTGGTGGTGTGCCTTCTTCATATAGCCACAAAGTGTAGCTTGCATCCCTGCCCAGGGAGCCATGACACACACCTTCACTAAGAAAGGCACTTTTGTGTGTGTCCGTCCTGAGCTGGGTGCTGGGCTTACTGGGTTGGCATACCCCAGTGACAAAGTTCCCCTGTGTGTTTCAGCTGTAGTTCAACCTGTCATAGTCATGTGGTTATAGCAACATTATTTCGTATCTCCAAGGGTTGTGAAGCGCTGTTACACCTCCTAAAGTTGGTGCTAGGCATTTTTTGGCACAAGTGCATTTTCAGCACCATCCATAAAGCCAAAGATGGGAGGCTGAAAAGAGCCAGCGTGCCTCTCCCAGCCACGGAGCTCCCCCTTTTAGGTGAGCTTGCCTGGAAAGGAGATGTTAAGACAACAGACAAACTTGAAAGCACATGTGCCTCAAATCTTTATCAAAGCAAGTGGAAATGTCTCTCATCTGAAGTTACAAAACACAACCAGGACCCATCTCCCTGTCAGAGCAGCTCCACAGGGGACCCTTCTGCCCCTGTGCTCCAGAAAGCAGCTGTTGCCTGTTTGTGACTGGTCCCTGGGCTCCTTCTCCGCCACCTCCCTCTCAGAAGCCACTTTGAGTGTCCCCTCGGACTTCTTCTATAGAGTATAGAAAATCAGGATCGCCTCAGTCCATCTAAGTCAAGGGAACAGTTCCCCTCTGTGACTGTACAGGAAAGAGCTGCAGCAGCTAGACCCCAAGGCACACCTACACGGAGAGGACGTCCCTGTGTCTCATCCGGAGCCCAGGAGCTTGCATGGTGTGATGACTGGTTTTCATTTTCAGGTTGACACAATCTAATAGCACCTAAGAAAGTAGTCTCAAAGAGGAATTTTCTAGAACAAGTTGGTCTGTGGGTGTGTCTGGGGTGAGGGTGGGGGTTGTCTTGATCACATTAATGGGTGTGGGAAGACCTAGTCCATGTGGGTGGTACCATTCTCTAGGTTCAGGTCCTGGGCTATGTAAAAATGGAGAAAGTGAGCTGAGAAGTGAGCATGTTTGCATATCTCTCTCTGACTTGGTATTTTAAATTCTTGCCACAGTGACTCCCTTCTGTGATGAACTGTGACCTGGAACTGGGAGCTGAAATAAGCTCTTTCTCCCCTAAGTTGCTTTTTGTCAGGACATTTTTATCACAGTGACAGAAATGAAACTATGATAGAAGGGGAAACAAACTTAGCTGGAATTTAGCACCACCATTGATGGTGGAGGCAAGCCCTGGTGTGGACCTGATGGCTCCTGTGTAGTGGAACAGCCTTTGGAAAGTGTCTCTGATGCTTCTCTCCTGCCTTGAACACCGAAGTAGTGGCCACACTCACCATTAGATCATGTTACTGAGCATGTGTGTGCAACAATACATCAATATTTCTATATCAAAAAATGGTTTCAGAGCTTTGGTAAGAATTTCATTATAATTATCAACCGTGTATACATACTAGGCCACCAATAATATGCACATACCAGATTCCTTTCTACAATATGGTATATGAATGTGTCTTTATAATCGAGAAAAATATAACAGTGGCCCTGCCCATCCCGCTTATCACCTATCAGATCCAGTTCACCCCCTTCTCAAAGGGGTTAAGGGGTGAGGACTATACCTGACCTATCCAGACTGAGTATGTATTTGTGATTAATACAAAGAGGATGCAGACATGCTATCAGAAACCCCCGGCAGGTAAGCATCAGGGTTTTATTTCCCCAGAAGACATTGAGTGGAACTGATATCAATGCCGAGATTTAAGCTTCCAGTAATGCCAAGAAAGCAGCTCGTTCAGAGGTATAAACAAAGCCAGTGCTGCACTTCACAGCCACCACTACCTTTCAGACTGTCCTCTTGACCCTAGAGGACCAAGGTGAGTGGACCGGGAAGAGCCGGCCTGACTGTTGAACAGCACACTTGTAGTGTCTAGGCACAGGGAAAAGTACAGCATCATTCAGATGGCAGGTTGAATTGAACGAGCTGGAGGGATGATCTGCGCACATACTCAGTTTCTAAGAGGTAGGAGCAGAGCACAGGTGGACCATGCTGGGGTGGTGACTCAGCTCTGCTCCCAGCTCAGCCACGTCCCAGCTCTGGGCAGGATCGGATGCCAGGGAGATGCTCGTAGTTGGCCCACAGAGGAAACTACAGATCAACAAACCCGTATGTTTAAAGTTCAAGTAGGCACTGTCTCCTTGTGCAATTCGTTTTTCTCTGACTTTGTGGCCTACAGCTGTGTCTTGAGTTTCATCCTTAGAGATTCCTGAACACATTCTATTTCACTAGTAGCCAAATAACAACTAATTTTTATATGGTAAAACTTTCCTATCATTTCCTTTCTCTAAGAAGCCAGCTAACTAGGTAGATAACTATTGCCAGTTCTGGAGGGACAGCTCAGTGGTTAAGAGCACTTGCTGTGAATGCAAGAAGACTTGAGTTCAAATCCCCAGCACTCACATAAAAGCCAGGTATAGCCATGGGACAAAAAGATCCTGGGAACCTGCAGGCCAGCCAGCCTAGCCAAAGAGGTAAACCTCAAAAATGGGTGTCCTTCAGGTTTAGCGAGAGACTCTGTCTCAAAAACTAAGGTGGCACATAGCACACTTCCCCATATTACACACACACTCACACATACACATCACACACACACATCACACACACACACACACACACACACACACACACACACACACACACACACACACACACACACGCTCTTCCCACACACTTCTTTCTGTCTTTATCAATAATTTGCTTACATCAATTTTGATCTTGAAACAAGTTGAAATCAAAATTGGGAGAAGTAACCAATTTAGAATCTCCCTAAAAATTAATAGGTCTTTGTTTCTGTGGGTGAGCAATGGTATCTCTGTGTTCCTGTCCCACAAACATCAGAGTAATCAGTAACTTCTGGTCACATGGATTATGTTTTAAACACTTTTGTATCCACTCTATTACCATCCAGTCTGTCTCTAAAAATGCCATTGAGTTCAAAATCTTGGGACAGTAGACTGCCTTAGGGCACCAGTTTGTACTTCTTAGGGTCCTGGCATCTGTCTTTCTGCACCAGTGGGCCACCACTGACTACATCATCTTTGGCAACCAAGGACAGTGAATGGTTACACTCTGCAGGTCCCTCCTGCACCAGGCCAGGAACCAGCTGCCTTAGTAGGTAGGTAAACCAGTTTGACTGGAAATCCAGGCACCTGTTCCCCAACCCCCAGGTTCCATTAAGCCAGGAAACTCAATGGCAGATGGCATCACAGGAGCTGGTCACTCACAAGCCTGCGATGCATTCAGACAATTGGATGGAGGGCTTGGGTTGTGGCTCAGGAGCACAGTGCCTTCCTGGCGTGTGATGGGCTCGGGATTCTGTCCTCAGTACTAAAAATAAAGTTAGCAGAGAATGTAGTAGAAGATGCTACAAGCCAGAGGAAAACAGAAAATGTAAACACCCCAGAAACTAGGAACATGTCTGGACAGTTTCTTTCCTTTACTCCAAACTCCTTGTACCTGTTTCCTGCGTGCACTTGGGATGTGGGAAATCATTGCTCAGAGTTCCGTCTCCCTCTGCTGATCACTGGGGAGACTCTGCCGGCCTCCAGCTTTCCGTGTGTTCTGTCTGTGAGCAGCTGTTGAGATTCACTCTTGGACCTGCCTCCTGCATGCTGGCTTCTACCCCTGTATCCCGAAGAAAAGAAATAACAATAGCCAACTTGTTTTAGTAGATTATAATGGCATGAGCAGAGCATGCCCTTTAAAACATGTTTTCTGAGTGTTCATTTTATGTGTGAGTATGCTGTGGCTCACATGTGGAGGTCAGAGGCCAGTTTGTGCAATCCAGGTCTCTCCTTCCACCATGTGGGTCCCAGGACTGAACTCAGGCCGTCTGACTTGGCAGCAGGCACCTTTAACCATAAGCCATCTTGCTGGCCCTGCATCACTTTCTTAATCTCTTGGTTCTCAGAGAAGTGCCTCTCCAACGTCCCTTTGTTTTGCCAACAATATCAATCAGTCTTTATGTAGACAGTTACAGTTTGTTGTTTTACACAGCTACATCTACTGATCATTTCTTTTATGGTTTCATCCATGTTTTTGCACCTAGGAAGGGTCATTTTGACTAATAACAGGGGGACTTCATTGCTAAGTGTCTGTTTAATACTTGTCTAAATATTCTTATAGTTTTTTTTTAATGTTAACATTTTTCGAATTGAATTCATTTAGAATTTACTGTGGAATATGGCATAAGCTGAGATTCAAAATAGGATATCTTTGAAATAACCAGTTTTCCTGATACCTCTTCCATTTTAATGAAATGTCTTAAAATAAAATGCCTCTTTTCCTCCTAAGAAAACACTTTCAAGTCTTTCAGGAGGAGGCTAATGCATCTTAATCTCATCATAACAGAGCCCTGACCTGATCATTTCTAGTCTCATATTTCAGAAATAGCTTTACCGGCGGATACCATCATCTAGACATCAAAAAAAAAAAAAAGCCCACAGTAAAGTGTCAACTGCATGTCAACCAGGTAGCTGGGGATGCCAGGGGACAGCGGCTTTCCTGAGTGGGTAGTCCCCTGGAGTTAGGCACTCTCCTAAGGGAGATCAGCTGACTTTTATCTTAGCCTCCTCACTTGCCCTAGAAGAGTTGGTAAGACCCCATTTCTATGGAGGGCAGGGGTGTTCCTCTGCCTCCCCTGGCTGGAGGGGAATGGTAGCAGGCAGAAGAGGGTAAGGGCATTAATGTCGCTAAACAGGAAACCCCATGTAGCAGGGAACTTGCTGTGTTCCTTCTTGACCACCCTAAAAACTAATTAATCTTTTGCTGAAGGGTGCCCAGTAGCTTCCAAAAGAGAAAATAGCTCTGCTCATATGGCAGCCAATCCACTCGTGGTGGAAACAGCCTCAGTTTCCTACCA